AACATGGCCATGGACAAAAAAGGGACTTGGTAGGAATTGACAAAGGGATATTGGGAAGTCTATTCCCCATGTTTGTGGGCATCCTAAAGATGCTAAGGAGTGGATCTGGGAAGACCACTCGTGGACGGATGGCCCAATCTTGGAGAGATGGGACTGTGATGCAAGTGGTATTGGACCATCAGTGCAGCAAAGGTGAATGGGCATGGCTTTAGCGTAATAGGCTGAATTGTCAGTGGTACCTTTAGGTGTCGGTCATGGGACTAGACACGTGGAGCACTTGCACCAAGTGCAATAGTTGAGTGGCATGGATGCCATTCTTGGGGCTAGCAAGCCCCCAAGTCTGGAATAGGACTTATGGAGGTTGTGAGTGAGACTTCTCCAAGTGGTCAGAGGTGTGGTTAAATGACTAAAGTAGAATGGAAAATTTAGTCGCTTACAACCTAGTATCGGAGCTATTCCTTAGTCTGACTTTTATTAGTGCTCAAGTATATCACCATTGATATTGGCATCAGAAGGTCCTAGGAGTGGGCCTATCCTTGAGGAGTAGCATGTCGAAAGGACATGGCTCTCCACTCAAGTTCATGCGCGAACTTGGGCGCGATATGGTGGATAGGAAAGGGGCCAGTAAGGGAATGACTTTGGGATCTTGAGAACAGTATAAAGGTTTCCTTAGAGAGTTGAGGATGTGATCCAGATGAGTGTTTGACGTAGCCAATTGGCTAATGTAGTTGTGGTAAACAACTATAGTTGGGATCACATGAAAGATAGAGACTCCAAAACAATAAAGGAGTCACAAGATTATCCTCATATAGTTGAGGTTGATGCTCATGAATGTGAGATCAGAAGTAATGACCGCGGGAGGTCAAATACGGAAAAGGACATGAGTCCTTGAAATGGTAGCTGTAGCTACCTTTGATAAATGCTTGAACAACCCAATAAGTTGGGGGTGTACTAAGAGGATGAGTTGGTATTCTCATCACATGGACAAGTGGTCCTAAGAGGCAAAAGGTTGCCCCAAGAGAACAAATCAAGTGTCTGAGTAACACTTGTAAAGATAGTTCTGGTGAGTAGGACTTGAATATAAGAAGTTGTATTCCAGTGAGTTGGCACCTCAAAGGTAGGACCTCATGGGTTGTCGGATGAAGCTAAATGACTCAAATAGAGTCAAAGAATAATCCTAAAGGATTGATGGAAGCATTTGGACTGAGGTGTGTTATAACCCACGAAGGATGGGGGGGATCATAAGATCCAACGATGAGAACAGAGGGTATCTCATCGATGGCAGAATAGGCTATGCTAAAGTCATGAGAAAGGTGTTCCCCAAAAAAGAAAGCGAGTTGTGTGTGAACACTATGGTACAATACTAACTGATAGTTGGCATGAAAAATGACTGCTTTGGTCTTGGCAAAGACCTAGACACAAGTAGGGAACCTCACTCTAAGCCCATGGCTAGAGCACCTAAAGGCAGAAGGTGGGGAGAGTACCCACGGGGCTCATATAGAGCCACGGTGTTCCGAAATGTTATCCCAAAGTCCCAAACTGGGGAAAGGAGGAGGAGCAGTCCTCTAGTGTAGTGATTAAGGATACGGTCACATGGTGAGGAAGTCCCAGAGGACAATGGAACTTAATGGCCCCTTTGTCAATTCCTAACAAGTCCCTTTTCTGTCCATGGCCATGTTTGCCAATACTGCCACTAGATCAAGGCCCACAGGCCCTATATTTGTAAGCATCCTAAGGATGCTAAGGAGTGGATCTGGGAAGACCACTTGTGGACGGATGGCTTAGTCTTGGAGAGACGGGACTGTGATGCAAGTGGTATTGGACCACTAGTGCAGCAAAGGTGAATGAGCATGGCCTTAGCGTAACGGGCTGAACTGTCAATGGTACCTTTGGGTGTCAGTCATGGGACCAGACACGTGGAGCACTTGGACCAAGTGCAACGGTTGAGTGGCACGGATGCCATTCTTGGGGTTAGCAAGTCCCCAAGTCCGGAATAAGACTTATGGAGGTTATGAGTGAGACTCCTCCAAGTGGTCGGAGGTGTGGTTAAGTGGCTAAAGTAGAATGGAAAATTTAGTCGCTTACAATACATTTTTAAAATTACCTTAAGGATGGTCTTCTTTATTTTGTGGGGATAGATCTTGATGATCATTTATAGTTGGTGCTACCTTCGATCTTTATTCCACTCTTTTTGCATGCTTATTATGATTCTCCTATTTTAAATAGGCATATGGGATATTGTCGTGGACCGATAAGCTGCACTAAGTTTTTCTATTAGCCAGATATGCGACGTGATGTTATCTAGTATGTGTGTAGCTACATTTAGTGCTAAGCTCGTAATACTTTCTTTCATAATTTGGAAGGACAATTGGAGTCAATTGCAATTTCTTGTTGTTTGAGTTGGTGGCATTTAATCTAATGGGGCATTTTTCCATGGTTAGCTATTGGCAATGAGTATGTCATTATTGTTTTTTACTATTTGACTTGTTGGGTGAAAGTTGGTGCTTTTACTAGTGCATTTGCCACTGCTATTGGTTACTTCCTCCTTAATCGAGTGGTGTTTTAGTATTCTTGTTCGGAATGAATTTTTTCGGATAATGGTCCTATATTTATGGCTAAGGCATTTCATGTTTTAATGTCTTGGTTGGGGATATGCCACACTTTTACGAGTGTTTATCATCCACAGTCAGATGGTTTGGTGGAATGACTTGTTCAAACTTTCAAAGGGAGAATAGCAAAGTATATGAATTTTCAACATTCGAATTGGGATATTATTTGCTATCTCTTTGGTATGCATATGTCACAAGGGTGCAAAATTTTGTTGGTGCTTCACCATATAAACTCCTATATAATTATGATCCAATACTACCAATAGAGTTGAGTTTACCTTCGCGATTGCTATAAGCTGTTGATGTTATGTCTTGGAATTAGTATTTGATAAGCATTCTTCTACTTATCCAAGTAGAGTTTGTTGAACATTTGGGTTGCATACAAGTGGGACAACAACAATGTTATAACTCCCATCGTCATCCACTTTCGAAATATAAAGTGAATGATTTGGTGTTAATTACATGGTTTGTCTAAGAGGCTTTTTACTCAATGGAAGGGACTGTATCATATGTTACAGCAAGTTGGATTACAAGTTTATAAGGTTTAGCATAATGTCTAACAAGTTAATCCTCTAGAAATTATGCATGTGCAACGGTTAAAACATTTTATATAAAAGGATCAAGAACAACTGACACCACTTATAAATCCACTAATGCCACCTCCCGATATTCCTCTAAATCTTATTCATAAGAGAACTCTAACTATCTTTCACCATTCTGAAGAAGGGGATAATGTGAGTTTTAAGTCTATGGTTACAATATTATATACAAATATTAACATAATGGGATTTTGGTAATTGTCAGATTGATTTAAATTTGACTTTTATATATAAGCTAAGGTTTTTAAGCTAATTTTTCTATATTCTCTTTCCATATTCCATGCCCTCACATGTTTATAATATAAACTTTCATTTGATGAATTGGATTAATAAATAGGAATAACATTACTAATAAACAAACTAAGCAACACATAGCAAATTATTTTCTTTTGTTATAAAAGATTAATAAAGCTAAATAAAAAATTAATTAATTTCAAGAATTCACTAAAAGTGTAAATGCAGGCTTGCTTAGAGGTAACAAACTCCGCAGGCTAAGATAATGGTCTGATCAATCAGGAAGAGGAGAAATCATGCCTGAGAGATTCGAACTCCCCCAGTAACCACTCTGAACCGTGCCGTAAGTTTTAGGGTTTCAAGCTCAAATGGCTGGGTATGGAGGAGGGCGGGATTATGGCTACTACGGCTACACTGCCCATGCCACATCGAGCTGGTCGGGATTGAGCGCCGCATTCTTCTCCTCAATCTCGGCATTCACTGGAATCTTTCTCATCCTCTCCTTCTTGTCACTCGGAATAGGTGAGGAGTCGCTCTCGCAGCTCACTTTTCTTTCTCACGAAGCTATTCAGCCGCCGGATTGTTCTATCTTGCGGAGGTTGCGGAAGAACACACGCAGCTAACAAGAAAGATCATCGGCATCTCGATTAAGGTGAGACGAATTCGAGCTAGAGAAACACTGAAGATTGTTGTTTGTTTCAGGGAATTCTAGCTATCTACGTTCTACTCTTTGTTGTGGATGGCCTCCCGTTTTTTTGCGTTCTTTCTGGAATTGGAGCTCACGTACTATACTATCAGCTTCTAAAGACGTATCCGATTGTTGATCCAACTTCAAATATTTTTCTCGGGAGCTCGGGTGAGCCGCGTCATGCTCAGAGCTCGTTGCTCAAACAACTTTGTTTTCGTGTATGTTTTGCAGGTGCTGGCGCTCTAAGTGTAATAATGTGGAGTCGATTTTTCCTACAGCATCCACGATGTGCATATGTTACTCTCGGCTGGGCGATCGGTTTCATGGCCGTCACCGTCTTTTTTGTGCCGTTTCTCTTTCTCATCTCCCTGACGACTTCTTCGCAATCGTTGCCTCACGTATCAAGCTCCAGTCGTGCGTATCCTTACTTCTCTTAGCTTGCACGGTGCAAGGTTAATGTTTTCTTTCTTTCTTTTTTTTTCTCCAGATCCTCAAGCGTCCTCATCAGGCTTCCTTGGAAAGAAAAGAACCACCGCTGTTTCGTCGTTATTTAGATTTCTGACTGATAGACGAGATCAGGTGCTACCAACAGCCTTACCTCGGCCGAGACAGGCTTAAGCAACAAAAGACTGCAGTGTACAGATACTGTAACTCTCTCGTTTTTTTCCTTTCACAGATCATTTGTGTTTTTGTGCGTTCTTTTCGAGGAAGACAAAGGTTGCAAGTTCTATTCTTAATTCGAAAGCGACTGTTGGAAGCTCGGTATTTGCCATGGTTTCGGCGAGCATTCATTGTCCCGTATAGCGGTGACCACTAGTCTACTAACTTTTTTTTTCTTTCAGCTCAGCTAGCTATCAGCTGAGAAACAGCTGGTTGGTCTAAGAGGTCTTTCAATCCAGGGTCCCAGAACACATTGATTCTCAGTTTGAAGTTTTCAGCTAAGCAGCCTCACACGCGGTGTTTGGCTTGGAGAGTTATGACTCTGAAGACTTCGTGCTGTAAGTCTTTAAATTCAATGCTGCTGCGCTACTAATATCTCTGTAGGTTCATGGCTTTCTCGACGACACCAGAGATATGTTTGTGCTCTCCTCCAAGCTAAACAGGCAGCAGCGATGGTGGCGGTAAGCTCTTTCTTTTTCGGGGTTCTTACGTGTAGTATCGGAGCCGCAGAAGCTCAGCAGCAGGCTAGAAAGCACGGGCCTGGTAGTAACTCTACGCAAGTTCCCAATGGTGACAAGGATGGCCTCCCGGCAGCCAGCATTGCTGCCGGAGTGCTGTCCCTGATCGTTGTGGGAGGTCTCTTACTGGTGGCAGCTCTAATCTTCATAAAGCAGCGCTTTCTCGATCCAAGAGCCAAGGCTTCGACGACAGCAGCTTCGATCATCTCTGCACCAGGATCACCTCAGCTTGTCCAGTTTTCCTTCAAAGCCATCGTTGCCACCACCCGGAACTTCAGCGACAAGATCGGAGCTGGAATTCTCGGCTCCGTCTACAAAGGAGTTTTTCCGGACAGCGAGACGGTGGTCGCCGTGAAGAAGCTCGAGATAAACACAAGCGACAGGGACTTCCGCAACTGCGTCTCCGAGATCGGTTTCTTGTCTCACGACAGCCTCGTCCAGCTCCACGGCTTCTGTGCGGACTGTGGCCCCGACAACAAAATGCTCGTCTACGAGTTTCTTTCAAATGGTTCGCTGGACAAGTTGCTCTTCGAAGACTCGGAGGACAACCGGCTCGACTGGAAGTTCCGGTTTGACACAGCCCTCTCGATCGCTCGGGGCGTCGCACATCTCCACCAGCAGCAGGTTCCAGTGATCCACGGCAATCTCAAAACAGAAAACATCCTTCTGGACAAGAACTTCCAGCCGAAAATCTCCGACACCGGCCTGGGCTTGCTCGTCGACAGGAGAAAAATCAAGACGGCTCTGAGCAGCGGCCGAGTTCACGGATACTTCTCCCCAGAGTGGATTGCCGACTCGCCTCTCACGACCAAGACCGACGTCTACGGCTTTGGGATGATCCTTCTCGAGATAATTGGTGGCCGGAGGATCCTCGACTTGAGCCAGAAGTCGGAGCAGTGGAACTTCGTGGACTGGGTTTCCAAGCAGGTGAAAGCCGGCAACTACGTCGGGGTCGCGGATCCCCGGTTGAGTAGCATCGATCTCGAGCAGCTCCGGAGAGGGATCGACGTTGCGGTGTGGTGCATCCAAGACGACGCAAAGTCGAGGCCGTCCATTGCTAAAGTTGTCGAGGAGCTGGAGAAAGTTTTGGTGATTGAGGCTACTCCTGCGAGAAAGAAGAGGTCCTACGGGCAGCTGCAAGAGATAGAAGCATCGTGAACAGAAGAAAAAAGACGATGCGAAGAGAAAGAATGTTTCTTTGCTTTCCTTTGTGGTGTTTCTTTCTACACGAAGATATAAATCAGCCATCTTCGTTTTTCTTGCTCTTGTCCATGAAAGTGTAAATGAATGAATGGAGAGAGACTCGTCTTTGTTCTTGTCAGTCTTTGTGTAACGCCTCCAGGAAAGCGTCCTGGAGGTGTGAATTCGTGGCCGCGATTCTCTGGGACATGAGCTCCAATGGCCCTCCCGACCTGCATTAAAACCAATCACGTTAGCGAAAAAAAAAAAAAAACCGAAAGCTTTTCTCTTTTCTTTTTCCACTTACGGATCAAACACACGCCCTCCGGCTTCTTGCAAAATCACAACTCCTGCCGTGATATCCCTGCAAGGAAAAACGATCGTATCAAGCAAGTGATCGAGAAAAAGTTGTCTTTGCACTCACCAAGGGCCTCCGAATCCCAGCTCGTAGAAGATATCCAGCCTTCCACAAGCGACACCGCACAGGTTGAGCGCACAAGATCCGGTCATGCGCAGGGAGCGAATCTGCGAGACACGAGAACTCATCCTTTAAGACCAGTGGAAAGAAAACGAGGAAAAGACGTAAACTTCGCAGTCACCTTATAAAGAAGGTTGTTGATCCTGTCAGTGGTTTCGTCCACAGTCGCTTTGTCTCGCTTCGTTCCAACCTGCAAAAGCAAGGCAAAGATTAGAAAAAAAAAAAGTAAGAAGGAGCAAATCAAACCTCTGTGGCAAGCAAAGCCTTATAAATCTCGTCCTGAGATGATGCAGTGATTTTGCTGCCATTGAGAAAGGCACCTCTTCCTTTGACAGCGGTGAAAAGCTACGGAAAAAACCAAATAGGAAATGAGAGAGATTACTTTGTAGTTTCTGTGCGTACCTCGTTCAGTATGGGATTGTAAACAACTCCGACCGAAGGTACCTTCCCAATCGTGAGGCCGATCGAAACGCAGACAAAAGGAAATCCGTGCACAAAGTTTGTGGTGCCATCCAGCGGATCAACAATCCACGTTGGCTCGTCGGTTAGCTCCGCGGTTCCATTCAAAGCCGAGGTTTCTTCGCCGATAAACTATGAAGAACTCGTGAGAATTTTTTTCATGGAACAAAGGGAAGTTGTAAAGTCGAGAGGGCTTGCCTTGTGATCCGGGAAATGCTTTTGCAAGAGCTCAAAAATAAGCTTCTCGCAAGCTTTATCCGTCTCTGTTACCAGATCCACCTTTCCTTTATGCTCTACATTCTTGTGGCTGTGAAAGCTACCAGCGATTATCTGCAGAAAAAAACTTTTCAGTGAGAAAAAGAGGAACTTTACAAAGGATGAATCGACCTGGCCGGCTTGCTTTGCGGCATCCACAGCGATCTCCAAGAAACCATCCAATTCATCTAGAAAGACCACAAAATCAAAGCACTATTCGATCAGCCAAGAAGGAGAAGCGATCTAAAAGTCATCTAGAATCGAAGGAAACGAAGAAATGATCTAGAGAAACGAGCAAACCTTCACGAATAACGCCCATTGCGCCTTTCGTCCCAGTTACAAATGAAAAACCTGTGAATAAACCCTAATATATGTATTAAACCCCCTTTTCAAAATAACCTTTATGTGGTGGAGGCATATCCAAGGATCTGGTTATTCGGGATACCTTTCCCAAATAGCGATTCGAACCAACGACCGGCTACTTTTTGGCGGTTTTTTTGAAAAACCCTAAAAGCTTTTTGGGGGAGAAGCAAATTTAGATCCCGAGGCCATGGCGGACGAATCGTGCCGCGATTGGGAAGTTCTCACCATGTCCACCGCCTCGATCGATCCCAAGAGCTCGGCCGCTCCAACTAATTCCAGTGATTCTAAACAGCAGCTGGGAGAATCGGAGGACAAGAGCAAGGCGAGCAAGGAAAAGGAGGAGCTTACAGTGGGTATGGCTGCCTGGTTGCAGCGGCAATCCTCAGAGATTGTCTTGCGCGCTCGCCAATCCAATCCGCTACTGTCTCTAGCAGTCGCGGCCGCCGCAGTGGTGGGTCTCGTGATTTTGGGGCGGGGATGGCATCGCGAGCGCTGTGAGAATCGGCTGCTAAGATCACAGCTCGGCACGGTAAGGATTCTTTGCAAAAGCCTTTTTTTTGGTTTCTCAGTCTCTTTTCCCTCCATTTGCAGAGAGTTATAACCATTGAACTCTCGGACTTCTAGGAGCTTTTCTTCTCTTTTCTCTCCGAGCATGAATCAGGAAAGTTTCTCAAAGTTTTCTCGATTCTCACCAAAACCACTGCAAGTTTGCGCCCACGGCTTTGACATTGCTTGACACGAGCGGCATGTAGCCGTAGCGAGCTGCTAGAAAATTCACGCACACCGTGCGATGGACATCGTGGCCTTTCAAGCTGCTGATCCCGCTCGATCCAATCTCGTAGAGTTTTCCTGGAAAGAAAGAGAGAGAAAAAAACAGTTTTTCTCACAGCTGAATTTGCGAGAAGCAAAACCTTACCTTTCACCCAGATCGGAGGAGCGTTTGTCAAGTTCGCGACCATGAAAGACATGGCAATGTCCTCGCAGTTCCTGGAAGTGAAGAACATCAAGTAAAAGAGCGTTTCTTTTCGTTCGCTTACCTCTGGTTTGCGACATACTCCCGTATGGAAGCGGGCATTTGGAGCGTGTAGTACTCGAGATACTTGTGATGGAGAAATGCCGCTTTCGTAAGAACCATGCTGTAGGTCCCCATCCACCAAACGGACCACCAGCCTCCATACGTAAAAGTCGGCTGCTCCGGCCGGAAAGTTGGCGAGATTTGCTTCCAGTTGTTCTGCAAGATCAAGGAGCACGCAAAGTGAAACTTCCATCAGAAGCGCCAAAGAAAAATCACATCTTTACCTTCAATCGTGCCCAGTGCATCCGTGGCACGAAACCGACCATGCTATCAGGAGCGCTCAGCCACACCCGGAAAGATAACTCCAGAGTCGTGCAAGGGACCAGAACGTCGTCGTCGATGGAGAAGATCCCGTCGGTGGTGACGCCGTCGAGCGGCTTGAATCTGTTGTTGAGGTTGTCCTCGTCGTTGATGTCAATCCGGAGCTCCAGCTCGGGGTTGTTCTTGGCGGCGCGGATGGATTTTTCCAGCGCCGCTAGCAGCGACTCCGAGGGCGGCTCGCTCTCGCTCCACACCACCCGGATCGCATCCACGCCGCGGCACGATGCGTAGTGGGCCACGGATTTTCGCAGGAGATCGTAGCGCTTCCATGTGTTGATGAGAACCGTGTAGCGATGGTGCCTGGAAATCAAAAGTGAGTCATAGGCAACAGTGAAGAACCAAAGTTTGAAAAGGAAAAGACGAGCTTTTTTTCGTACCTCGAGACGAGAAGAAAATTCGCCTCGTCTTGGTCCCAACTCACAATCGCTATCGACCGGCTGATAACCAAGAAGATCAAAATCAGCATCGAGATCCCGAGAAGAAGCCTGGATCTCCAAGAGGAAATGCTGTAGAACCAGGCGAGAGGGGATCTCCAGTAACGAGAAGAGGAGGAAGCTGGTCTTCCAGCTTTCACCAGCACCTTGTGATCTCTCGCCACCAAGGAACTCATCCTGCTGCCACTGGCGGCAATGGCAGAGGTGGCGGCGATGGTGGTGGCGACGGTGGTGGTGGAGCAAAACAAAAACTCCGTCCCATACAGACTGGCCAGAGGAGTGTGCCACTGAGCCAGCCAGTGGCGACAAGTCACATTAGACTTTCTTGTACGAAAGAGCAGTGGATCAAAAACTTCGGTCCATGCACGGACGCCAAGAACACACAAGACACCAGCAAAGAAAAGAAAGATTAGAAGCGAGAAAGGCACAGAGAAGGAAGAAGAACTATTCGCTCAAACTCCCTCGCTCGCTACAGTCGGGGAATCACTCATTGGAACACTAGACAGCACTAAAAGGGAAAAACCCTCCCCCGCCTCCTCTAGATTCTTTGTGGGATGGATCGATTAGATCGATTAGATCGATTAGAAACACATAAAGAAATCAAGGTCTACCTCAATGACCTCACCGCGGTCGCATTCATCGCGAAAGAGAGGAAAAGAAAGCACTGATCCCCGGGAAACTGACAAACAGCAGCTCCTCCACTGGGACTCTCCAATTTGTCAGACGCACAATCGAGCAGCCGATGGCGATCTGGCGATGGCGACACAAAATCGCGAGAAAAATCCACCTGGGGTTTGTGCTTATCGGCCAAATAGCCCTAAAAACTGCCTTAGGGTTTATAGAAGAATTGCGGATTTAGGCGCTGTAACGGATGGACGCCTGCGCTTCCCGCTTCTTTCCATTTTCAAATTCCAGCCCGCATTTTAGGGTTCTTATGGTCACTGGTTTCTAGCGTTTTCCTTTCTTTCTTTTGCCTATTAAGATCCGGGCGCTCGCGAAAGATCAATGATCAACGTAAGGCGGAGAGATCATCAGCAGCAGCACCATGTTTCTGGCGTAAGCTATCACTTAACGTTTCTATTGGAAGATTGTATGTTGGATCCTTTTTATGCAGCGAGCGGTGCTCAATGCAGTAGCCCTCCAAGATCACTTCACGAGGTCCTTAAGCTTTGGCATGGCAAGTTTCCTCTCGATCATCTCTTTCTCTCTTTTTTATTCTCATTCTTTCGTTTGCACAGATTCGCTATCATCAAGGACTACAGCAGCAGCAACAGCAAATCTTGTCTCATCTAAGTCTTGGTTTGTAGAAACTCTTTGTTTTCTCGCATGATTTTCACGAGCTTTCCTTGCTTTGCTTTTCTTTTCTTTTTTGTGTATAGCGCAACAATGTGGACTTGTTAACAAGCCCAGAGGGGAGTTGACGGAAGAAGAGTGGCGAATCGCTCGCGAGCAGTCGATGGCGAGGAGGGACGCACTGCATGGCTGTCCAATTTGTCACGAAATTTTTATTCGTGGAGACCAGGTAAATAAGTGGTCTCTTGCAAAATGGCCACAATCTTAGTTTTTTTTTTTTTTTTTTCTTTCTGTCTTTGCAGCTTTTACTCAGCTGCTCTCATGTCTTTCACAAGGTTTGGAGCTCTTCACGGATGGTCTTTTAGTGCCACGGAAATCACATCAGGGTGCCAATATTTGCAGCAATGCTTGAAACGTTTTGAGAAGTTCTCAAGGCAACGCTGCTGCCCGGTGTGCCGGACCGAGCACTATCAAACCATGGCCGTGAGGATACCATCGACTTTGTACAAGAACTTCTTTGCAACAAGGCATGGAAATTCCAAGCTTTTATCATCAAAGCGAAGTGTTTTTCTTTCCATTGCTTTCGTGAAGGATACAGACGGCGTACAGGGCTTACAAGTGTCGGAGAGATTACGCTGAGTACAAATGGAGACATCCACCTGAAGATCCAGGCAAACGAAAGGAATGGTTTGCAAAAAAGGTTGGTTCTTTTCTTTTTGCATATTTCTCTTCTCTCTAAACCTGTGTGAGCATCAGCTTGAATCGGCTTCAAACCGACTGCTGGATCAAATGGCTGTAGACGAAGACAATGTGAAGCTCCTCTTGGCCAGCATCGACAATACTCTGGCCAGCAGTAAGCAGATTTACGATGTTCTTGGCAGCAGAGATCAAACGAAGGAGGTGGACAATTTAAATCTTAATGAAGAAAGCGATCTTAATTGGCACCAGGTGATCGAAAAGGTACGTTCTTTCTTGCATCTATCTCAAGCTTATCATTATTTTTCCAGGCTATTGAGAGATATGACATTGATTGTTCCATTTGCATAATGCCGCTGCAAAAGGATGGAGGATCCAACCTTAGCCTGCTCAGCTGCAGCCACTTATTCCATAGCCATTGCATCTCGGAGTTTGAGGCGTTCCATGCATCGGCAGAGCTCTTATGCCCGATTTGTAGAACCATGTACAAGAGGTTCGACTTGTAGCATTGCTGTAGGATTCGATACTCAGAAAGAAAACACTTCTTTGACATTTAAGAATGAGAAATCACATGACTTAACAGGAACTTCAAACTTGGCTGATAACCAAATTTAATTCAGGATTGGTTGACAACCAGATTTAACTCTGGCTTGGAACGTGAAAAGGTGGTCCTGGGATGTGAAATGGTGGAAAACTGGAAGGAGGGAAATGGAAACCAGGGTGAAATGGTGGAAGATGGCCACCAGGTGGTCCTGGAATGAAAGGGGGAAAATTGATTGGTGGGAACTGGCCACCAGGAGCAGAAGGTGGTCTTGGAATAGAAGGGGGAAAATGAAATGGGGGGAAATGACCAGAAGGGGGAATCTGAAATGGTGGTGAAGTAGCAAAAGGTGAAGGTGGCCTGGGAATAAAAGGAGGAGCTTGATGGAATGGTGGAATGTGGCTTGAGGGTGGCCAAGCATATCCTGGAAGGTGAGGAGATGCAGCATGAGGAACCTGAGTTTGTAAGCTTTTTCCTGCTGAATCAAGTAGAAGAGCATGCTCCTTCAGCAACGTTCGTCTGCCGCTCACTTGCAATGCATTGAGAAAGATAAACACTTCAAAGATAAGCATTGAAATGATTTGAAAAGCCATCACAACTCAAATGCTTTCATTTAATCACTGAATTTATATTGGAGTCCAATGACCTTAGACCACTAACTTATTTTGGCTATTTGGTTGTTCCAAATGTTAAGTTCTTTTCTTTTTACTCTTTATTGATCCTGTTTTACTGCTGGTGGGTGTTAGTGGCAGCATGGATCCATTGGGCTTCACTGGATTGACACCACATGATTAGTCTATATTTATAGAGACAACTCTGATGCCAATACAAATCTCTCCAAACATCGGGGAAGTGATAAATACACAAATGGACAACACTAGGATAACAATGGATGCTGAAGTTGTGGAAGAAATTCCACAATTTAGGTTATAGAGTTCTACAAATGTTGCAAAACCATTAATTGAAGATATAACCAATGAGGCGAGTTTAGGCCAAGAAAATTAAGGTCAAGAAACTGAATAGGATAAAGAGGACAAGGCTACAAAAGAAAATCTAAGTGAACCAAAGGAGTATGGGCTATATATTTGACAGCAACACACCATTGGTCAATCAGTTTAGTGAGATGAGGTAACCATAGCAGTAGTAAACACCATAGCAGCACTACAAGATCAAGGCTAGTCACGCCTTCGCTCACAAAACCACAAGTTAGTCAAGTGAGCTAGCAATTTGAAGTTTTATGGAGGAACTTGCTCAACACATCAAGGGAGTAAGCAAGTAGCCAATTGACAAGCTGATGCAGCCAATAAAAGATGAAGAAACAACAAAATACTGTGTGCAGGTCTTAAGGTACCTCAAGACAATCACCAAGAAAGTAGATGGTGTCATGGGCAAGCAGAATCATCAATGCCACATAATTCAATAACTCAAGAGTGTAATTCTAACTTCCACATCCACCGATGCAGAGCACATCAACCACCAAGACTAGCATATCACAATGCTCGACTAGAAAAATCAAATCAATCTGTATCCATCATCATTTGTAATGCATTCACTTGAATCTATAAAAATCACCTTTCTATCAGACTTTGCCGCTATCTTCTAGGTGGGCTTAACAAACTTAAAATTGGAGCATTTCTCCAGTCCATCACATCCCTGTAAAACTTTTGTTACCACTGCATTAAATAGTGAAGTGAGAACCATATGTGAAGTTCCATGGCAGTGAAGCTGTAGAGTAGCAGAAAAGTTACAAAGAGTATAAACATTTTTCCTAGGCCACAACAAAGAAACTTAGGAATGATCAGGTAAGTCACAAGGTTATAAGCATTACCATCTAGGCAAATTTGCAATAGTTTGATACATGTTATAAAATTAATTGTCATAAGAAATAGTAACTCTTAATAGTTATTTCAATGGAGAAGCATATATTGAAGAGCCAATTTACATTACTTTAAGAGTGAAACAAAAATCTGGAACTCCAAATAATGGCTGAAGAAAATTAATTCTGGCCTGGAATATGAAAAGGTGGTAGACAAAAGAATGGTGGAATATAGCTAGGTCCTGGGATGTGAAATGGAGCACCATAACATAAAAGGAGCGAGAAATGGTGGGAACTGCCATGAGGTGGTAATAGAATAACAGAGGGAAAATGGAATAGTAGAAAATGGCTACCAGGAATGTGAAATGGTACAAATGAGAGATTGGGTAGAATGGTGGAATATGGTTTGAATATGGCATGGGAAAAAATAGCGGAATGGTGGAATGTGGCTTGAGAGAGGTCAATTATATCTTGTAGTGTGAGGAAATAGTGTGTAACTTGAGCTTCCTATACACCTTGATGATGGTCTATCAACTTTTTTCTTAAATTTAATGCTTTTATTCTTTCGTGGGTATAGAGTCAATATTACTTGATATGAATCTCACTTTTTCTTTCTCTTTACCACAATTTTAATTATCATAGATGGTTTGGAAAAGGAAAAACCATTACAAAGGCTAAGAAAAATCGGAAAGATGTTATGAAATGTCTTTATTTTAAATCCACTTCTGCTCTCATTTCCACCCATGAACCCAAAAATATGTAATAATAAGTAACTTTTATTCCCAATTGCACTCAACTCTTAGGGACATTTATAATTGAATTAGAAGTAACACTTATATGATATATTGATAGTTATTTTAATTTACAAAGATGCTTTATTCTAAATTTGAGATGGACATCCCATAACTTTTTCTCTATATTTAAATTTATATACTTGGAGTGAAGATCATTAAAATTTATGGCCAAGCCATTGAATTGCTAGATTTTTCTTAGATACTTCAAGATCTCCATTTAAACAATTTTCTGAATTAAGATTAATTAAGAACCACCTTTTATTTTTCCAAAATTTTAATTTTACCCTAGACAAGCCTCCCTAGCTAAATCCCTTAGGCCATAAAATATTTTTGAAATATTCTAATAGTTCATGTCATTGGGCCCAAATAATTCTATCATAAACTAGTTCTGAGACCTCTAAACCCTCACTAAATTGCCTTTTTTTTTTCTAGTTATTTATGTAGTGCACTTGAATTTGGAACTGAACTCCAAGCTTGTTGTGCTACGAAACAAGGGTCTACCCAAGTACTAACGAATGAGAGAAATGAAAGTTTGATTTATAGAAATATATTTCTTTATTGATTTGCAAGATTTATTACAAAATTTACAAAAGCTATTCTTTCTTACGATTCTCATACTACATGACAAGCTCATGAGCATATGTAAAATTCTTAAGAGGCTCCCAAGTTAATTCACAAGTTGGGTAACTTTTCCACTTAATTAGATACTCTTGATGTTTGGCATGTTTAAGCCAGCGTATACCCAAAATAGCTTCCACTTCATATTCAAGTTCACTATCTACAACTTTTGGTGGTGGATGAATCTCCCCTTGATATGCAACATCTATAGTGTAAAGAGCCAATAAATTGGTATAAAATACCATTTCCACAGGCCGATAAAATATATCACCAATTTGTTTTAAAACCTAATAGGGTCCAACATATCTTGGTAATAGCTTCCAAAATAAAGATCCCTTTACATTCAAGTTTCGAGAAGATAGCCACACTTGATCTCCCACTTAATAGAATACATCTTGATGATGTTGATCCTTATTATGTCAATACCTATTTTGAGCTTTGCTTATCGCCTCAGTATCTTTAGACTAACTTTGGCATAGTTGCTTCATATAAGTCTCAACAATTGGGATTAACACTTTGGATATTGGTTTTGGTACAACAATTTGTTGAGGAACCCCATGAGCATTCCTTTGCAGCATCTCCCATAGAAAATAGCTAATAGCATTGTGAAATGTGTTGTTATAACAAATTTCTACTTTATCCAAATGAATCACGTTGGTCCACCACAACATAGTACCACAAATAATCCTCAACTTGAGCATTCACATATTCAGTCTGCCCATCAATTTGAGGATGATAAGTTGTACTAAACTTCAACTTGGTACTGAAAAACTAGAACAATGTGCCCCAAAACTTCCTTGTAAATCTCAAATCTCTATCTGAGATCATCTCTTCGAAAAGACCATGAACTCACATTACTTCATGGAAAAAGAGCTTTGCTGCTTGCTTTGCATTTACTATTTTCACAGTTGAAATGAAGTGTGCAATCTTCAACAACTGATCCACAACCACCATCAAAGTATCATAATCCTTAGACTTTAGCAAGCAAGTGACAAAATCAAGTATCACACTCTGAAATGGCCATACCAGTGCTAGAATGCACTATAATTTCCCAGCTTGCTTCTCAGTTCTACGCTTACATTGTTGGCATACCGGGTAGGAACAGATATACTCCACTACATCACCTTCCATACCAAATCAGAAAAATCCTTTTTTCAATGAAGAGTCTTTCATTTTCTACCGTGTCCTGCTGCCGAAACATTATAATGTTCCCGCAGAAACAACTACTACAGTTCCTAAGATACAATCTTTCTTGCTTATAGAATATAAGCCTATCCCAAACTGAGAAGTGAAGTTTCATATTGGTTTGACTAGCAATATTTGCCACTTCACTATTAGGGTTCTGCTTTGACAACTCCATACAGTGCAAGATTGTCTTAGCCAATGGATCACTACTATACGAAGCCCAAATGTCTTCCAACTAGTCTGAACTAATTGCTGACTTTGCTCAAAATTGAGTTTGACAACTTAACGCATCCGAAACAATATTGTCTTTACCAAGTTTATAGATAATTTCAATATCAAATTTAGCGAGCTTCTCTTGCCAACGAGCTTGCTTCGGCATCGTAAGCTTAGGCTGCATAGCAAGTAGCTCAGTGTGTTACTATCCATATAAACCTTGGTATATCTACCCAAATAATATTTCCAGTGTTCTAATGCCAACACTATAGCAAACATCTTTTTTTCGTGTGTTGGCCATCTTCATTGGGTTTCATCCAATTTCTTGGAGTAGAACGCAATGGGATAACTATGTCACCTTAGCATCACAATTTTGCTGCAACACGGCATCAATAGCATAGCTAGATGCATCACAATGCACTTTGAAAGGTTTATCAAGATCTGGGATCTTGAGAACATGAACTGTAGTCAAGATTTCTTTCAACCGTACAAAAGCACATTGACAAGCCGGTGTCTAGTGAAATGGTATACTACTCTTCATTAACTCAATCAACAAAAGAGCAATTCTAGCAAAATTGCAAACAAACTTGTGAT